ACTTATAATATGTACATCAAATTCTGCGGCAGAGAAAATATTTAAAAAATTCACAAATTTTCCATCTGAAACGAGCAAGATTGTCCTCAGTTTCTTAGACATCATTCACCTGATGTTATAAGAATAGAGGGGGCACGGGTGGCCCAGTCGTCTAAGGCGCCGCGATTCGCTGTGCAGAGTTGCGTCCCTTGGGCATGCCAGAAACCTATGATTGTGGATTCGAATCCCGTTTCGCCCCGATTATGTTTCTAGGTTTGTCAGCACCATACCCGTGCTCGTGGGTTTCACCGAAGTGGTAAACGTCTGAGACCTGCATCACTTCGGGCTTTCCTCCCACATTAAGCTGACACGCCGCGATATAACTGGAATTGTGTTAAAACTCACTCACTCACTATAAGAATAGAAAACGATCATGTAATTTCAATTATTATTCGCACGGTTCCGATTACAATTAAACATGTTTTTTGCGACACACGATTTTAGACCAAATGTCACGTGAGTGTCTCATTTGCCACATAATACATTCCGTTATACACACCGATCCGTGAAGATTCCGGGGTAGAATAGGTCTACAGCAACCCATGCTTGTCGTAAAAGGCGACTAACGGGATCGGGTGGTCAGGCTCGCGGACTTGGTTAATGCATGTCATCGTATCCCAATTGCGTAGATCAATGCTCATGATGTCAATCACTGGATTGTCTGGTCCAGACTCGATTGTTTACAGACCTCCGTCATATAGCTGGAATATTGCTGAGTGCGGCGTTAAACAACAAACAAACCAAACCAAACTTAGTACCTTTGAGGATATTTTCAGAAAGTGTGTGTGCATCTATTTAATGTAAGGGTAGAATTACTACTTTCACAGCCCTGTGAAGATCTACCTGGTTTGAATTAGTATTCAGTAACCCATGCTTGTCGTAAGAGGCGGCTAAGGGTGGATCAGGCTCGCTGACATGGTTGATGCATTTCATTGTATGCCAATTGCGTAGATCGATGCTCATGATATCAGTCACTGGATTGTCTGGTCCAGACTCGATTATTTACAGACCGTCGTCATAAAGCTGGAATTTTGCTAAGTGGGGCGTTAAACAACAAACAAATCAAACCAAAAATAGTCCCTTGAGGATATTTTCAAGAAGTGTGTGTGCATCTGTTTAATGTAAGGGTAGAATTACTACTTTCACAGCCCCGTGAAGATCCATCCTGGTTTGAATTAGTCTTCAGTAACCAATGCTTGTCGTAAGAGGCGACTAAGTGTGGATCAGGCTCGCAGACTTGGTTGATGCATTTCATTTTTTATGCCAACTGCGTAGATCGATGCGCATGATGTCAATCACTTGATTGTCTGGTCCAGATTCGATTATTTACAGACGATTAACAGAGTGCGACGTTAAACAACAAATCATTTTTTAATGTGAAGATTACACGATATACGTCTTTTCCATTGGGCGGGAGGTCGGTCACATGACCGCGAATTGACGTTCATGAGTCTTTAAATTCTTATTGTGAAGTATTAGGGATATCCGGTGATGTGACCCTTTCATTTGTCAACAAACTTCAAAAAGTGACCTTGAAAAAGTATAAACGTCACCTTTTGACGTTTACACGACTTTTGGACCGGATCATGGGGAATCCCCGAGTTTTCTGGCTGTCTCAATCCCCTCCTTACCATGATCTTGAGTATCGGCAATATTGAACAATATATTAACTCTTTTTTACACACTGTTTCATTAAAACTCTTATTTACACCCCGCACACAAATACACTGCAGGGTACGATTCTGTGGGAAATTCCCTGTTTGTGATAGCATCCACTGTCATTTTAGGCAAAGCAAAATTACTGAAAATGACCCCTGAAAATTTGGAACTACTAAATCACCATTACGGCGTTTTTTTAGTGTAGATCTATGTTTTGAAATATAATTATCGGATATTGACTCGGAGAATTGCATATCAATTATAGCATAATAGAGATCAGTGTACTGATCAAGGGTATCTGGTTTTTTGTTTTTTTATCAAATAACCAATGATCATTTTGAAACGTCGCCGATTACCCTATAGAATCCACTAGAATGTTTTGGAGCAAACTCCGGCGTTTACACGATTTTAACTTGCACGGTTCAAAGCGTTCATACTCCAGTAAACCAACACAATAACAAAAATTCATTTCTTAAATGAACTGCACAATTTGACGTTCATACGTTTTTCACGAGAACGTATTCTTGAAATGACGTAAACACTGTTTGACTACTCAAACATTCCTGTAGCACGAATACATACTGAAGCGTTGTTTCCGATCATTTAGACCCTTCAAATTTGAACTCAACCTTTTAGCATACATTGAGAAACGTCAGAGAGTTTATGAACGTTCATAGAGTGAGGGCCAGACTGTGAGGGAGCTTGCGACGACGTTCACAGAGTAAGGGCCAAACTGTGAGGGAGCTTGCGACAACGTTCACAGAGTGAGGGCAAGACTGTGAGGGAGCTTGCGACAACGTTCATAGAGTGAGGACCAGACTGTGAGGGAGCTTGCGACAACGTTCATAGAGTGAGGGCCAAACTGTGAGGGAGCTTGCGACAACGTTCATAGAGTGAGGACCAGACTGTGAGGGAGCTTGCGACAACGTTCACAGAGTGAGGGCCAAACTGTGAGGGAGCTTGCGACAACGTTCACAGAGTGAGGGCCAGACTGTGAGGGAGCTTGCGACAACGTTCATAGAGTGAGGACCAGACTGTGAGGGAGCTTGCGACGACGTTCATAGAGTGAGGGCCAGACTGTGAGGGAGCTTGCGACAACGTTCATAGAGTGAGGGCCAGACTGTGAGGGAGCTTGCGACGACGTTCATAGAGTGAGGGCCAGACTGTGAGGGAGCTTGCGACAACGTTCATAGAATGAGGACCAGACTGAGGGAGCTTGCGACAACGTTCATAGAATGAGGACCAGACTGTGAGGGAGCTTGCGACAACGTTCATAGAGTGAGGGCCAAACTGTGAGGGAGCTTGCGACGACGTTCATAGAATGAGGACCAGACTGTGAGGGAGCTTGCGACGACGTTAATAGAGTGAGGGCCAAACTGTGAGGGAGCTTGCGACGACGTTCATAGAATGAGGACCAGACTGTGAGGGAGCTTGCGACAACGTTCATAGAGTGAGGGCCAGACTGTGAGGGAGCTTGCGACAACTTTCATAGAGTGAGGGCCAAACTGTGAGGGCGCTTGCGACGACGTTCATAGAGTGAGGGCCAGACTGTGGGGGAGCTTGCGACAATGATCATAGAGTGAGGGCCAGACTGTGAGGGAACTTGCGACAACGTTCATAGAACGAGGGCCAGACTGTGAGGGAGCTTGCGACGACGTTCATAGAATGAGGGCCAGACTGTGAGGGAGCTTGCGACGACGTTCATAGAGTGAGGGCCAAACTGTGAGGGAGCTTGCGACGACGTTCATAGAGTGAGGGCCAAACTGTGAGGGAGCTTGCGACAACGTTCATAGAATGAGGGCCAGACTGTGAGGGAGCTTGCGACAACGTTCATAGAATGAGGGCCAGACTGTGAGGGAGCTTGCGACGACGTTCATAGAATGAGGGCCAGACTGTGAGGGAGCTTGCGACGACGTTCATAGAGTGAGGGCCAAACTGTGAGGGAGCTTGCGACGACGTTCATAGAGTGAGGGCCAAACTGTGGGGGAGCTTGCGACGACGTTCATAGAGTGAGGGCCAAACTGTGAGGGAGCTTGCGACGACGTTCATAGAATGAGGGCCAAACTGTGAGGGAGCTTGCGACGACGTTCATAGAGTGAGGGCCAGACTGTGAGGGAGCTTGCGACAACGTTCATAGAGTGAGGGCCAGACTGTGAGGGAGCTTGCGACAAGGATCATAGAGTGAGGGCCAAACTGTGAGGGAGCTTGCGACGACGTTCATAGAGTGAGGACCAGACTGTGAGGGAGCTTGCGACAACGTTCATAGAGTGAGGGCCAAACTGTGAGGGAGCTTGCGACGACGTTCATAGAGTGAGGGCCAAACTGTGAGGGAGCTTGCGACGACGTTCATAGAATGAGGGCCAAACTGTGAGGGAGCTTGCGACGACGTTCATAGAGTGAGGGCTAAACTGTGAGGGAGCTTGCGACGACGTTCACAGAGTGAGGTCTAAACTGTGAGGGAGCTTGTTAGCATATACCTGTTAGCAACACTGAATACAACAAGATTTGAATACATCAATACAACACAGAAGCATTCTTGAAGACTTTTATCGGGATACTCATAGAAACCCTGAAACAAAATATCTCCAAGCGAGTTTACAATACTGTTGCAAGACTAGATTTCTTCAGTTTCATCCTTGAAGTGAAACGATTCTCTGGGCTCCTTTCTATAATATATAAATGACAATGTTACAAAATACATATTTACATGTTTTCATTTCAAATACGTGTCTTATCCGTTATTGTACAATGTGCTATAAATGTATTTGTTTTATGGGAGACAAAGGGTAGTCTAACTCATCATACCTGTTATGTCTTGGGTATGATAGTATGACCTATCATATCCTGTCAACAATACTGAGCAACTTAAAGTATGATAGACAAATAAAATAAAATATTTATTCATTGTACGAAAGGCCCTATATTATTTTGTCAAGGTCACACAGATTTTAGGATTTCACTTCGCAACATTAAGGCATGGTGTTTATGTTACAGTCCATGTGTTAAATAGGACTCACTATTTCAGTCATATGACAAATTGTCTCAAATAAAAATTGAAAAAGATTGTAAGGATCATCTGGTTTCAAATTAATTGAACCAATTTATTTTTACACAAAATAACACAGCCAAAGATTACATAATTTGCTATAATGAGTGACGGTTAAATAGACATAATCAAATCTAACATAAGTTCTTTCAATTTAAATTAAATACAAACCCAAAATCAGTTTTCTTTTGACCCTCAGTTATATTCCCAGAAAATCTGTACGTAAAAGAAACCAACAACCAACCAACAAATGGTATTCAATCAACAATTGTATTCTAAAATTAACTAGGTTTACAAATCAATACAAATAACTGCACATCAATTACAATAGCAGTACACAATAGAGTGGTAGTACAATATTCAACGGCAGTATAAAATGTGAGAGCAGTGAAATGACAATGACAAGAATAATAATCACCTCGCGAGAACAGTGGTCCAGCGTCCGAGAAAAGCCTAGGGTGAACACCAGAGTGAAAAGTGATCTTCACAAAAAATCCGGTCTTGATGTAATGTCAGATGAAATGTGAGATGACGTTCAACGTATTTAGTCTTACCAGCTTCCAACATTTCTACACTTTGTCAGACCAGTCCAGTGTCGCTTTAACATCACAGAATATTCCAGAATAATATTTGACGTCCATCAATGCTATTCCGGAAGTTTACAGATAATTCGAGCATTTAAATATAATAACTACCCACCACTGCTTACATTAAATAGTACTACATTCCTGATAAATAATTATTGTTCAATTGCAATGCAATGACCTTCCACAGAATCTCAATAGAAACAATGTAATACAGTTACAATCATTGTTTAACAATAAATTACACTACCACATAAACTCATTTATGTTTGTGTGTGTGTGTGTGCGGCTTGTGTTTTATTATGCACAGCCATACTCGTATATATTGAGTGCAGAATTACATTTGTTTTTATGTCTGCAGGTACTGTATATATTATCATTTTCTTTGCAGACGAACTTATAATCTAGATACTTGGCATTGTCCCCCTGTTTTGTATTTCAAATATTAACGGGGCATATTGTCTATCTTGTGTATGTGTTTGATTCTGTACAGACAAAGAAGTACCTTAGATATGTGTTCGAATATGTATATGCATAACTGTGTACTTGTTTGTAACTAATAAATGTTTACGTCAAAGTAAATAAACACTGATGACCGTAGCCAGTGCCTCTTCAACAATGTCCTATAAACTGTATTAGATACGTGTGAATTGTATGTCTGTTTCTGTGCAAATAACATATTGTTCTATTATATTGCTTTAAGTTACGTTACCATCTGAAATAACATATTCGCCATTTGAAAAACACATAGGCTTCTGTTTCCCTTGTGCAGCCAAGGACAGTGCTGCGAAGGCTGAGCACAGTTCATCAGGCCTCCCATGTCATCACAGTGGAGTCTATGGGCACACAAGCCCGACCAAGCATACCTCCAATACCGTCAATCGTACAAGGTAACCCGTTGCACTAAAACCTTTGAACACAGGAGTCAATATCTATGGAGTGGCATGGGGTAGTGAGCCTTATATAATTCACGTCACAGGGCAACATTGTATTTGTTGACATGATGTCACCCTTGCCTTGATAAACACAGGATCGTCCGTCAATGATACTCTCAGGATATGACGCAACAGCCTCTGCTCTGGGAGTCCCCATCACGTGACGATGTATCGCGGTATCTGATATGTGGGGCAGCATGGATGTATTCCAGGGAGTCCCGCGAGGTGGACACGGGTTTGGGGAAGAGGTCAATGTAACCTTGACCCTTGGCGTTAGAACTGAAAGAAACAAAGTTAGGTTTGTTTAAAGCCGCACTCAGCAATATTCCATCCATATGACGTAGATCTGTAAGCCTGGACCGGACAATCCAGTGATTGGAATACAAAGCCATGCATCAACCAAGTCCGCGAGCCTGGCCACCCGCCTGACCACCCGATCCCATTAACCTCCTACAAGAAACTGGGTTGATGTAGACTAAATAGAACCCGGATGTTCACGGGAGTCTGATTATATATTGTTATACAGCCTGGACCAGTTCACTACAACAGTGCTGGAATATCCGCTAAAACGTGCATCTCGTCAGATTGCACCCAGGGTCGAGATAAATCCTGTTTTCACCCCCTGGATGCCACAGGGACATGTATGTCCCTCCTCTACAACCCTCACTTTGAAGTCGAATAACATTCAAAATACATCACCAACACAAATACACTTCACAGTTGTAAATAAGGTGGAAAATTCCCTGTTATCATTCACTGGCATTTTAGACCAAGCAAAAGTACTGAAAATGACCTCTGAAAATTAGGTACATCGAAATCGTCGCCATTTTTTACACATTACTAAATCACCACTCACGGCGTTATGTACAGCATGTTTTGAAATCTAAATTTCGGATATTTACTCGGAGAAATTAATTTCAGAAATAGCATATTAGTGATCACGGGTACCTGTCTTTTATGAAATCACCAATGATCATTCCAAAACGTCACCGATAACCCTAGAATCCTTTCGAATGTTTTGGAGATTACGCAAACACAAAGAAAGAGAGATGCAAATGGCGACGTCACTTCTGAAAAGACGTTTTGATGGCGACCTGTTCCTGGGTATATGAGGGGGCACGGGTGGCCCAGTCGTCTAGGGGGCCGCGATTCGCTGTGCAGAGTTGCGTCCCTTGGGCACGCCAGAAACCTATGATTGTTGGTTCGAATCCCGGTTCGCCCCATTTTATGTTTCTAGGTTTGTCCGCACCATACCCGTGCTCGTGGGTTTCACCGAAGTGGTAAATGTCTGAGACCTGCATCACTTCGAGCTTTCCTCCCACATTAAGCTGACACGCCGCGATATAACTGGAATATTGTTAAAATCGGCGTTAAACCTAACTCACTCACTCACTCACTCCAGGGAATATGAACTGAGGGGCCAAGGAATCTGTACCTCTCAGTTAATTTTGTCAAAAGGTTGATTTGAAAATAGTGAGTTGGTTATTTACAGATCTCCACGATAAACAATAATATCATGTTTAATTTTCATATAACATATCATAAGTTAGCGATATTGTATCCAAAAGATAAACTGTACTGGCGCTTGGTCAGTACCGCCGGCATCGATATAGCTGGAGTATTGCTGAGTGTGGCCTTAAACAACAAACCAAGCAGGCTTAGTCAGTACGCAATACTTCTAGTGTTATAAATGCTGACGGGTATTTCAGACATCGTAGCCTTGAAAATCAATATATTTGCTTTCTTGTCCACAAATTTACTTTTCCAACATGGTGAGGGTCATGAGTTTTCAAATTCATTTCTTACCTCAGTCTTCATTGAACCAACTTATTTTTACACAAGAGTAGCCATCCACAAATCAATAGAATAGAATTAATTCCGTATGGTCCGACCATGAGGCAAATAGAAAAAGATGATTGGATAATAATAGACACATTGTGGCAGAGCGCTTCAAATTTTGTTGTTTTTTAAAAAAAAAATTAAATTTAAACATTTTTTCAAGATAAAGAACTAGCTGGAATATAATGCGGTCGTCATGTGATGTGCGTAAAGATACAAACTTATGCATGACAGGATATTCATTATAGTACAGGGGTAAATATTTTGACCTCTTCTCTACAGAAGTTGCATAAATTGTCAGTAAAATCATGATCAATCGACATTCGATATTTTTGTATTTAAAATCATTCCAACAATATCTAAAGTTTGTATGAGTTCTTCTTAAATTTACAGTCTTGATTGATTACATGTATTTTTCAGGATGTAATTAATCTTCCCGAGGCAAGCGAGTTAACTGACTTTAAAAGTCCAGTTTCCACCCTTGCCAAACTTGGCTGGAATTACTGGGCTCGATCGTAGCGCCACCAGTGGCTATTACCAGTTATGTCAATTCTAAGCCTCCCCAATGACCAATCAGATTCCACCTCTCGTATCACTTGCGTTTGCTTCACACAAAATGGTGGCGCCCAGTCTGATCATTGCTTCACACAAGATCTATATTGTGATAAAACGGGTCTTACATCGCGAAATGCATCAAATCACGTGAGCACCTTGATTAAAAACATGAAAAGATTTGGAAAATATCTGCTGATAACGAGCTGGCGGTGCACATGTTTTGCAAATGCTGCAATCGACCGAAATCTGCACGACAGGGTGCGCGATTTTGATTGGACTATGCAAAGACTCGTTAGTCCAGCCAAAATTCGGCTAGTTCAGCAAGGGTGGAAACTGGACTTTTATAGTCAGTTAACTCCCTTGCCTCGGGAAGATGGATGCAATAAGAATTTGTAGGTACAATATAATTTTCGTCTTGGGGAATTAGATATACAGTCTGACCATTGTAGCATAAACAAATCTCTTGTTCTTTGCTGAAATGTATTAATATAAATACAAGCATCACAGTCTCCGACATCTTGCATCAGCCATACATACAACACAAATCCATAACTATAAAATGTATATCTCACAAATGAAACACAATTTGTATAACCTAATTCATCATATTTACACAGCATGAAATAACAGCTCTTTGGATATTTGCCTAAAGGCTAGCTTAATAGCTTAATCCAATACTTAATTACTCTCACAATACCATGTTCATATATTCTCGTTCTACCCAGTTCAGCTTATAAAGTACTTGTTTGTTGTTTAACGCCGCACTCAGCAATATTCCAGCTGTATGACGGCCCTTATACAGTAGTATTTGAAGATCTGTATCCTATTTTCAAGGTATATTTACAATATTTAGTATGTATAATTTCAATGCTTAGGATTTTATACTATATATCAACGTTTAAGACCAGATATTTGAACATCATCCTTTTATTAGCTATTAAAGCCTTGTTCGCCTGTTTAGCTAAAGTAATACATTTTTGTACATGCTTGAGTAAATTTATTTCTATATGAAATTAAAATACCGAGATATTTATCCTGTGACACCCTTCCATATGTTCCCCCATAGTGGACCATTTCTCCATTAAAAAAATATAACTTAACTCTTATTAATGTTTACTATTAATCCCTATTTATAGCAGTATCTAAACTTGGTAACCTTTTTGCAGATTTATAACAGAATAAGCAAGTACTGACGCATCATCAGCATGTAAGAGCAAACGTATTTCATCAATATTACAATCCATGAAGATACTATGAGCGGCATAATCCTCATCTAATACCACGTGAGGAGGAACACGTCTGTAACATGTGAAAAGCTGAGCTTCACAGAAGCTTTGACGTTGCTATACATACATTTAAGCACATTAAATACATTTCCACGCATTGTGTCCAGCCTAAAAAGAGTAATTTTGTCCTATCAATCATATCAAAAGCTTTCTTAAGATCAATAAAAAAACCAATAAAATTTACCACCCTTTTCCGTTAAAATTTACGTGCCAGTGAATGAAGTACACAAATATGATATTGGTGGAATGACCCTCTCTTAAACCAAACAGTTAATCGGATATGCAATTTTAAAGTTCAAACCAAAGAGTGAGTCTTGTTAAGATTTTCCCCATAATATCTAGGAGGGTGATACCTCTATAATTTTTGGGGTCAGCTCTACTTCCTTGCTTAAAGAGAGTGGTAAAAAGCCCATTATTCCAATTCTGTGAAGAAATCGTTTCTTTATTACTTCATTAAGAAGTATTAATAAATGTATCAATAAATATGGCATTATGATATTTATTTATTTAAATATTTCACAGAATAAATTTTATAAACATGAGCAGGAAAGAGTTATAGTTAAATAGACATAGTCAAATTTAACAAGAGTAGAGTTCTTATTTTTTTTCAATTACATAAAAAACCCAACTCGGTATGCTTTCTTGTGCCCATTTGTTTCTCCTGATATAGAATGGAGAGACACTGGATAATCGAGTCTGGTCACTGTACACCGACTTTTGCTCATGCGATTAACCATTGGGAGCTTGGCCTAGACAGGATTACTTACAGGTCACCCCCAATACAATAATATATGTCACTGGTATATTGAAGACTGTTGTGGGAAAACATAATGCATTCGGTATCGGAACTGAACATGCAGACACGAAGCTTCACAACTAGAAACAGTGTCACTACCTGTCACTCTGCCCTTGATCTTCCATCCCTAATGGCTCCAAGTGTCCCCCGGGGGTGCCATTTGTTGATACTACCTGGTAATCCACAGTGGCGCTTGAATAAGACGGAGGTGGGTTGATATAGGGGGCGCTCGGCTCGTTCTGCACCCTCTCAAACCCGACTTGACGCAGGACCTGACCACCTTGCGGCGTCTGCGGCCAGACACCCACCGAAGACCCGACAGACTGAGGGGTAGAGACGTTGGACCCGGGAGCAGACGACACCATAACTCGGGCACCTCCGGGAGTTCCCAGAATTCCGTAGTAGTTTCCTGTCGGGTAAGCAGTTGTCACATTCATCATCATGTTTGTTGAATTCAGTGGGTTGTTGAGTTGATCTAGAAGCAACATCTCTCCCGGAGAAAGGTTAGATCGCCCATGACGACCGATGCGGTTACCATTGCTAAAAAGGCTGGTATGGCCAATATGGCTGCCATGGCCAAAATGGCTGCGATGACCAAAATGGCCGCCATGACCAAAATGGCCGCCGTGGCCAAAATGGCCGTGACTTCTGAGTCCATGTCCATGTCTGCGCCCATGACGCGGCATTGTTGATCAAGTTCTCGTTCTATGAGTAGGATTGATTATTGATCTCCGTTCGTTATACGTGTAAATATTGATGACTGATCACCGCTGATTGTGAAGTTTCTGGTTATCATACAGGGAACTACTGTTGAACACTGTCATATGTTCATGCTACTAAGAATCCTCAGTCATCCATACGTGTCAGAATTATGTTATCTTCGTCCCCGTCAACACTGTTGTCTTCCAGTCAATACAATTCCCGACGCTACACCTACCAACCACATATACTTCTCCGGGAGAAAGCGCCTGTTTTCTAGCAAACACTGACGAGTCAGCCACAGGTATAAACGTAATCTGCGTGAGTTACGCAATAGGTTTTGCATTTCAAAATCAAACCAGCGTCTGACGCTGTGTATTTCACAATTCTAACCGTGTCGTATTTGCTGTAACCATGCCGCTTTCACGTTCAAGGCAGGCCTGACCTAGTGGGCCTCTATCACATTTCCAGTAAGCAAATAATTCCCACTTGTGTTAGTCACGTACTTCTGGCATACAGGATAAGGTATGTGTACTGTATTTATTGTGTTCTCTCAGGTGTGTCACGTGGAAACAGATAAAACCTACATCAAGTTATGTTTGCTAAGATAAAAAGACCTCATTATGAGTGAGTGAGTGAGTTGGGTTTAAAGCCGCTTTTAACAGTATTCCAGTTATATCGCGGCGTGTCAGCTTAATGTGGGAGGAAAGCCCGAATTGATGCAGGTCTCAGACATTTACCAGTTCGGTGAAAACCACGAGCATTGGTATGGTGCTGACAAACCTAGAAACATAATCGGGGCGAACCGGGATTCGAACCCACAATCATTGGTTTCTGGCGTGCCCAAGAGACGCAACTGCACAGCGAATCGCGTCGCCTAAGGCGACTGGGCCACCCGTGCCCCCACCTCATTATGAAGATTTAATAAAAGTGCATACTTCAGCACGGATGCAGGGATGGGTAGATGAGTGGAATTGATTTACCACCGCCGTCACCATCGCATCAAACGTTCCCAAACAAATGCTATAAATGTTTCATCGGGACAGAATCATGTAATGTTTAAGGCTTAAACGTTATACACCAAACAAATATCGAGACACAACAACAACAACGTCAAAATAAACGGCTGATCTGTTGATCGCGGGGCGGTCGGGTAGCCTAGTGGTTAAAGCGTTCGCTCATGACGCCGAAGACCCGGGTTCGATTCCCGACATGGGTACAATGTGTGGAGCCCATTCCTGGTGTACCCCGCCGTGATATTGCTGGAATATTGCTAAAAGCGGCGTAAAACCATACTCACTCACTCACTCGCCTGAATTCAATACTTTGATGTCTGAGATGAACTGCTTGTCCATAATTAGGTAATTTGCCATGTGGAAATAATTGTGACCACAGCTTTGGTAAATAAAACACACCACTGCATTTGTAACTTTACGCGAGTCGTAACAGCTGTTGGCCCATCAGGTGTTAAACCGCTATATTCACGTCGTAATTAATATGCCCTGTTAGTGTCGTGTGGAATAAGTGATGTATTCCGTGCTCATACTGGGCAAGTTCATTATAACGGATGGAGGGGTGAGATCGTGATAATCAAAAACGTAGTCATCTGAAACTTCCAATGAATACTCACATCTGATCAAATGAAGCTCGCAGGGAAAAGTACAGGTAATACACGTTGGACAAACCATGTTTATGTGGACAACAACGCTTCAATTGAAATCACCAGACTTATAATGGAACCTCGTTAATCCGGACTACACTGACCCCAGTAAAAACGCACGGACTTATAGTTGAACCCGGACTACACCGACCGCAATGGAATCAACCGTACTTATAGTGGAACCTCTATAATCTAGACTGAATCTACCTCAATGAAATCAAGTGGACTTATAGTGGAGCCCCTTTAACACGGACTACACAGACTCCAATGAAATCAACCGGACTGATAGTGGAACCTCTTTAATCCCGACTACACCGACTCCAGTGAAATCAACCGGACTGATAGTGGAACCTCTTTAATCCGGACTACACCGACTCCAATGAAATCAACCGGACTGATAGTGGAACCTCTTTAATCCGGACTACACAGACTCCAATGAAATCAACCGGACTGATAGTGGAACCTCTTTAATCCGGACTACATCGACTCCAGTGAAATCAGGTGGTCTTATAGTGTAACCTATTTAATCCGGACTACATCGACTCCAGTGAAATCAAGTGGACTTACAGTGGAACCCGGGCTACATCGACTCCTGTGAAATCAGGTGGTCTTATAGTGGAACCTCTTTAATCCGGACTACACCGACTCCAGTGAAATCAACCGGATTTATAGTGGAACCTCTTTAACCCGGGCTACATCGACTCCAGTGAAATCAAGTAAACTTACAGTAGAACCTCTTTAACCCGGACTACACCGACTCCAGTGAAATCAAGTGGACTTATTTTCGAACCTCTTTATCCCGGACTACACCGACTCCAGTGAAATCAAGTGAACTTATAGTGGAACCTCTTTAACCCGGACTACACCGACTCCAGTGAAATCAACTTGACTTATTTTCGAACCTCTTTATCCCGGACTACACCGACTCCAGTGAAATCAAGTGAACTTATAGTGGAACCTCTTTAACCCGGACTACACCGACTCCAGTGAAATCAACTTGACTTATTTTCGAACCTCTTTATCCCGGACTACACCGACTCCAGTGAAATCAACTGAACTTATAGTGGAACCTCTTTAACCTGGACCACACTGACCCCTGTAAAAACGCACGGACTTATAGTAAACCTTACTCTACAGTCTTAAGTCATCGATAGATCCACTTTTAGGGTCATATCATGTGGGATGCAAACCCCGTGTCTCACCCGACAGTAAACACGGATAGCCAGGCCGTGTCTAGCCCAAAACTAAACAGGGATGCCCCGTGTCTAGCCCGACATTAAAGGTAGGCTCCAGTATGTAACCAGACAACAAACATTGATACCACGTGTCTCTCCCGACATTGAACAGGGATACTCCGTGTCTTACTCGACATTAAAGGGATACACCAGCATGTATATTGCACAAGTATATCATGACATCTTTTCCGACAAGGTTAAGGCGACATTGAACACAGCTACCAAGGAATTCATCCCGACGCTACCAGCAAACAAACATTTAGAACGAGTGAGATTTTCTTCCTCACAATGCTATTCACATCACCCGTGACTGCTGACTGTACATGTCAATGTGACCTAGATATTGTCAGCGCTTGATCTGAAGTTACTCCTTTAACACCCTTGTCAGGATTAATGTTACACAATATATATATATATATATATATATATATATATATATATATATATATATATATATATATATATGAGCCTCGTTTTGAAGTGAAAGGGAAGTAATATATCATTCGCGAACCAGGATTTCACCTAATTCTCCTCGTCACATGTGCAGGCGACACACGCCCCCTACTCAAGACCGTGCTTGTCCAGGCTCCTTACAGCATCTCTGAATGGAAACTGACACAGTATATTTCACAACTTCCAGCAACGTCAGTATCGGTGATCAAAGTCTCCTTCCTTGAACATAGTGAGCCGTGTGCAAAACCCACCCCTTTCATATACGGTCCATGCCTGCTTAAGCAGTTGTCGGTCGGAAACCAACCAGAATGGATCCCAGTCAGTGAGTATTTATCCATAAGACAGTGAACATTCTTTGTGACATGTGGTGACATATAGCGTGGCAGCCCTGCCTTGTCAAGTTATCGTAGTTGTCACACCGTGACGTTCAGACAATGAATTTTCATGATAATACCTCTCGTCTCTTTCACACACATGATCCGCGTGGGATCGACATCCCCGTAATACAATACGTTACACAAACTAGTTGATAAAACATGATTTGCACAGACCGTCGCAAAACATGATGTCTAAAGGGTAATTGTGACAACTGTGTAACTTGGTGACTAAAAGGATATGCCACAGGGAAACTACCGACTAGCATTCGGATACTGTTTCATACCTGCTGACAGTTGGTATAAGGGTTATCTACTCACAGGGTTGACGTGATAGAGGTGAGGTGAGGTAAAATTGGGCTTAACGTCGCGTCCAAGATTATTGCACTTATATAGCGACGTGCATGCACGTGTATGTGTGTGTGTGGCTGCTTGTACTAGTCCGGACTGATGCCGATTTATAGTGCTAGATCACTGAGATATCATGCCGCAGTTTAACATGAATACCCCACTCAGACACAGTATACTGACTCCGAGCCGACCAGTCCTTGTTTTAGCCCCTTAATGCCGAGCGCCAGACAGGGTAACAACAAATATACCGGAGTATAACATGCTGATGTAGGATTATATCTACCGCAGTATAACATGCTGATGTAGGATTCTATATACCGCAGTATACCAAGCGGATATAGGATTCTATATACGGCAGTATAACATGCTGATTAGGATTCTATATACCGCAGTATAACATGCTGATGTAGGATAATATCTACTGCAGTATAACATGCTGATGTAGGATTATATCTACTGCAGTATAACATGCTGATGTAGGATCATATCTACCGCAATATAACATGCTGATGTAGGATTATATCTACCGCAGTATAACATGCTGATGTAGGATTATATCTACCGCAGTATAACATGCTGATGTAGGATTATATCTACTGCAGTATAACATTCTGATATAGGATTATATCTACCGCAGTATAACATGCTGATGAAGGATTATACATACTGCTGTATAACATGCTGTTGTAGTATTATATCTACCGCAGTATAACATGCTGATGTAGGATTTCAGATACCGCAGTATACCAAGCGGATGTAGGATTATATCTACCGCAGTATAACATGCTGATGTAGGATTATATCTACCGCAGTATAACATGCTGACGTAGGATTATACATGCCGCAGTATAACATGCTGATGTAGGATTATACATACCGCAGTATAACTAATGATGTAGGATTATACATACCACAGTATAACATGCTGATGTAGGATTATATCTACCGCAGTATAACATGCTGATGTAGGATTCTATATACCGCAGTATACCAAGCGGATATAGGATTCTATATACCGCAGTATAACATGCTGATTAGGATTCTATATACCGCAGTATAACATGCTGATGTAGGATTATATCTACTACAGTATAACATGCTGATGTAGGATTATATCTACCGCAGTATAACATGCTGATGAACGACTATACATGCCGCAGAATAGCTAGGATTTTATCGAAAAAATAAACTGTCCCAGAAAAAGATTATGCTTCAAACTGTTGAAAATATAATTGTCTGCCACAAACGGGAATCGAACCTTGGTCTACTAAGTAATGCTTAGACCACTACAGGTACCCCCCCCCCCCCCCCCCTCCCCTTCCCCCCTTCCTAATGACTGTATGACAGTATGACAGTATGACATCCCACAGTATGTGCATGTGTCAAACTGCGACAAAGCTTTGACACTTCACAACATCACGTGATATGACATGCGCAGTGGAGACCATGCTGCACAGATGGACCTGGCAGATATCTGGACACACGAAGCGTGTGACGGCCTGCTAGCCCTCCTTGTCACTGACGTAGCAAGTTACCCGGCATTCAACACCAAGCAATGTTACAGTCGGACTTGTAATGTTATCAGGCGTCAAAGGGCGGTTTCATTCACAAAGGCTTACAACAATGTCTTTGTTTAGAAATAGATCAAACGTTCGCACCGGGTCAAACGAAATTTAATCACCACAGACAGAAATTATTTTCATGGCCAACGTCCAGAAGATATTAAATAAAACAATCCTACATACATACATGCACAGAATGCACTGCATACGTATCTATGTATCTCGATAACTGCTGCGGCTTGGGATTAAAAAGAAAGTTTCTCGAAAATACTTCAAACAATAATCCTACAATATCAGAAAGCAAATTATTATTATTATTTTTTTTATGCGGGTGGGGGTTGGGGGGAGCGATGGTTCGATCCCCGGCCATGTCATACCAAAAGACGTTAAAGGATGGTACTTGTTGTTACCCTGCCCCGTGATCGGCATTAAGAGCATACAGAGGGACAGGATATCTCAGAGTCTGTATAATGTGCCTGATTTTGGCATCCATCTTATACTGCAGCATTGCATCTCAGTAGGCTGGCACTATAAAACCAGCATAAGTCGGGACTAATAAGTCGCACGTACAGGTACGTCGCTATAGAAGTAAAAGACATTTCAATACATCCTATTATGCTGATATAAAAGTACACATAATTTACAGAAATTAAAATCACTTGTTATACAATTCTCCAAAAACATTGGTGATACAGGTGTCCCTTGGGCACGCCAGAAATCTATGATCGCGGGTTCGAATCCAGAGTCACCTCGAGTATGTTTCTAGGTTTGCCAGCACCATAACCGTGCTAGTGGATTTCACCAAAGTGGTAAAAACGTCTGAAACCTGCATCGCTTCGGACTTCCCTCCCATATTAAGCTAACACGCCGTGATATAACTGTAATACTGTTCAAAGGGGCGTTTAACCCTAAAAGTTTGTACGTTTTGACAGTAAAATATACAAGAGCCGGGCTTGATATCATGACTAAATACTTTCTACACATCCCTGAAGCTATTACACGCAATATGATTAAGACGGGGGACACGCGATTCTCTGTGCAGAGTTGCGTCCCTTGGACACGTCAGAAACCTATGATTGTGGGTTCGAATCCTGGTTTGCCCCGATTATGTTTCTAGGTTTGTCAGCACCATACCCGTGCTCGTGTGTTTCACCGAAGTGTTCAACGTCTGAGACCTGCATCACTTCGGGCTTTCCTCCCACATTAGGCTGACACGCCGCGATATAACTGGAATATATAGCGATATACTGTTAAAAGCGGCGTAAAACCCAACTCACTCACTCACTCACTGTTTAAGACAATGTAGGACGAAGAGTTAGTACCATGGGTTGTTTTGATATAACCTGTTTCCTACACTGAGTGTGGGCTGTTAGTGGCTGATACTCATCACGCACTTTCACTTTCGTGTCCTTTCGTGTTTTTAGCAGTTCCAAATCAAATTGTCGGTGCATTTATATCTCATCCTTTTGTCCTTAGCACGTCCTCCCGCCCGTATCAGTTCGGGCTTCCCTCCCACATTAACTTAACACGCCGTGATGCAACTTGTATAATGTTTAAAGCGGCGTGAAACCAAACTCACTCATTAACTACAGTTTCGTCCTTAACCTGTGGGTGTATCAGACAGACAGACATATTTATTTCGTATACGTGGCCATGAGGCCAATAGTACACAGACATGTTGTTGAAGGACCATTCGTCGTGGAGCACCACTTGTATACTGTAGCTGAATAGATGTACACAGTTTTATTAATATTCAATGTATCATCCTTCTTTCAAATATCTTATAAACAAAAACTGCAAGTCTGAGAAGAATGTGGCTATTTTTGCTGTTCATAATTGTACAAATTGACTTTGTGATAGATACGTATATTAGTTAGGCAGGTATTTGATTCTATATCTTCACATACTGGACATATTAAAAAAACATGGTATTCATCTTCTTGGTAATATTTGCAGAAAGGACACATTAATGTTAAAACATCATTATCTTTGGAATGTCTGTATAATTGTTCATTGAGGGTATGTTAAACATCTTCGTAAAGATAAAGATCGAATAGTTGTTAAATACATTACTGGTTTTATTTCCCTTTTTAACATGTACTGGGCATGTAGCGATTGTGAACATCTGACAGGTGACCAACCTTGACAACACATTACTTTACATCGTCGTTTAAACTTTGTTAAGAACATAATTTTATTTCCAACAACCTGGGATATCCATGCGCATGCAAATCCATGCGAAAAAGGAATTTCTCTAACAGCTGAGGCCCAGTTTATATCCCCAAAGTCATCAGACCCGTGATGATGTGGGGTAGAATAGGTCTTCAGCAACCCATGCTTGCCGTAAAAGGCGACTATGCTTAACGTAAAAGGCGACTAACGGGATCGGGTGGTCAGGCTCGCTGACTTGGTTGATGCATGGCACCGATCCCAATTGCGTGGATCGGTGCTCATGATATTAATCACTGTATTGTCTGGTCCAGACTCGATTATTTACAGACCGCTGTCATATAGCTGGAATATTGCTGGGTGCGGCGTTAAACAACCAACAAACAACCCCTAAGTCATCAAGGCGCTTAAGCTTGTAATAACATCGTCTAGAGTATCGTGCATCTGCTTGTGTCTCTGGTTGTCTGAGCAAACGTATCCAGTATGAGATAACCCTACATTGATAGTGTATATATATCGGGGGCCTTCCGCATTCTGCTAAAATTGCCTTATTTTTGTGACCGGTAGCCGACGCCAAGAACAAATTTACAAGTTATTGTATGAATTTTCTCAATACTGTGGCGATATAAGGTTCCCGAAAGTTCCGAGCCGTACATCAATATTGGCTGTATTTTACCATCAAATTCAACAGCGATTCAACAGGCATAGTTCTAAATATACTAATAAACTTCTTAACTGAATACATTGCTTGGTGGTTGTATCAGTACTATAACCAAGTCGGGCGACCATGCTATCTTATCTCCTGAACACGCATGGGGCAAAGATTACAATTTCCTAAGTGAGTTGTGTTTGAAGCCGTTTCTTGCACACCCTCGTAATTAACATCGCAACGGAAGACGTCTATCATGTGATTTGAACATTGTACCCACGTGCGGAGTCTGTCCCGGGGCAAGTGTACAACCCAAACAGGACCAACTCGAGCATATCTATCAACCAGCTAAACATTGCTTGCTCATGTTGATGGGACTATTATGAGCAAACAGCCCTGATCAAGATAACAGTAATTTCTTTTCTATCTGTTCGTTTCTTTGAACGAAAAGCGTACACATATTTCATCTTTTATAAACAGATAATCTATGAGTAAGTTAATATTTAGTTAATTTCATAATTTTTTAAAACTACTTACGCTAGCCTTCGATGTTGACTTTAAAGGTTCAAATTCAGCTGGCAACACCCGTTTTTCGTGACATTGTTTTGAATTATCAATCGATAAAATAGGTGTGTGTGGGTGTGTGTGGGTGGGTGGGTGGGTGGGTGGGAGTTCTGTCATTGCGTGGTGTTTAAAGGCAGATAGTTAATGCCTGGTCAAATACAAAGTAGCCTTGCTTTAACGTGAGGTTAGACGCTCCCTCAGCGGCGCTGGACCGTGAAATCGTGATCCTGGTATTCAAGTTTTTGAATTAACCCTTTTCCCTTCAAAGACACCGTAACATGAGATGAACGTATGCATGTCACGCAGTTTCACACCCGAGGCGTAGTGTGTTGACGCTGTCAGTCACTTTAATGGGCGAAGTGAGGTGAAATTGAGTTTAGCATCGCGTCCAAGATTATTGCACCTATATAGCGACGTGCATGCACGTGTGTGTGTGTGTGTGTGTGTGTGTGTGTGTGTGGTTGCTTGTTCTAGTCCGAACTGATGCCGATTTATAGTGCTAGCTCACTGAGATACCAGGGGAAGTCGGGTAGTCCAGCGGTTAAAGCGTTCGCTCGTCACGCCGAAGACCCGGTTTCGATTCCCGACAATATGTGACGGTACAATGTGTGAAGCCCATTTCTGGTGCCCCCTGCCTTGATATTGCTGTAATATTGCTAAAAGCGGCGTAAAGCGATACTCACTCACTGAGATACCATGCCGCAATTTAACATGAATACCCCACTCAGACACCGTATACTGACTCCGCGCCGACCAGTCCTTGTTTTAACCCCTCAATGCCGAGCGCCGGACAGGGTAACAACAACTACCATCTTTTAACGTCTTTTGGTATGACGCGGCCGGGGATCAAATCCCGGACCTTCCGCTCTTCGGACGGACGCTCTACCACAAGACCACGGAGGCGGGTCACTATAAAGGACTCCCGCCACATCATGCAATGCTGGAGGACAAATATACCATGAATTTGGTACATCATGTTTTACACGTCTTTTCGAAACTTGGACTGGCACACGTGGAAACTGAGATATACTATTTGGGCAAGTTTGAATGCTGGGCAACAGAGAAGTTTTACAGAGTATAACCTTTCCCTATGGATACAAAAACAAAACAACGTTTAGTAAACTCAGTCCATGAAACGTTATGATTTTTTTTCTTATAGATACCCAGGTGGCGCACCCCCCGCGGGTGCTGTCGGTGCGGTACCAGGCCAAGGACCACCACCCCAGGGTCAGCCCTACCCCCAGGGTCCTGGGGCACCGGCTAACTACGGAGCGATGAATCCTAATCAGACTAAGGGTGAAGCTGGCAAACTGCCCGGGGGACAGGCAGCTCCAACCCCATCCGCCCCCTCCCTCAATGAGATGGACAACGTAGGGGGGTACGAGAATGTCGGCTTCTCAGACAGTAAGTTTGATTACGTATTTAGTAATATATTCTACATTTAGCTGACATGTATTAACGCCATTTTTTGGAGTGAAATAACACACTTGATACCGGAACTAATAGTTTTCAGACGTATGTTTGACCTTTTTTTAAAAGAAGAATATTATTAGAAGAACATATTAAAGGCTGATAGTAATTGGAATATCTTCGTCACATTATTTTGACACATGAAATTGTGACCTGCAAAATGATTGTTGAAATCATGGTCAATGTAGCGTTGTTTATGAGGTGAAATGGGGTTTAACGTCGCGTCCAAGATTATTGCACTTATATAGCGACGTGCATGTACGTGTGTGTGATTGTGGCTGCTTGTACTAGTCCGGACTGATGCCGATTTATAGTGCTAGCTCACTGAGATACCATGCAGTTTAACATGAATACCCCACTCAGACACAGTATACTTGGTTTAGCCCTTAATGCAGAGCGCCAGACAGGGTAACAACAAGTACCATCTTTTAAACGTCTCTTGGTATGACGCGGCCGGGGATCGACTCCCGGACCTTCCGCTCTCCGGGCGGACGCTCTGCCACTAGACTACGGAGGCGGTCTCGTTGTTTATGATGTAAATGACGGTGTTGAACACACGCGGTATCAAAACTAACTTGTCATGTTCCAGATTGTCTCCCTCCACCGTCGTATGACGAGTCTGTGCAACCCCCAACAGAGAGACCGGAGATCAAGGGGTAGGTCCTCGCCTAATTGGAACCGGTCACGTGATATTCTCGGTGTGGGTGTGAGGGTGACTGGGACTGTTTTAAAAAATAATTTCTTCCTGAAAAATTGGAACCCAGAAAAAATCCATGTCCCCCACAAAATTAATGGTGACCTTATCATAAACCAAAGTCAAAGTCAACTCCGGTTGTCAATATGGTGCCCATTTGGTGGTCAACATGAGTCCCCATGTTGACCACCAAATGGGCACCTATTTGCACCAGGACTGGACAAGACTGCCACACATACAACCTACCTGATTCTCCTTCAGGGAGGGGACGGTGGGGTAGCCTAGTGGTTAAAGCGTTCGCTCGTCACGCCGAAGACCCTGGTTCGATTTCCAATTTTAATGTTTGAAGCCGATGTCTGGTGAACCCGCCGTGATATTGCTGGAATATTGCTAAGGCGGCGTAAAATTACACTCACTCACTCACTCACTCACTCACTCACTCACTCACTCAGGGTGCAATTGGTTAGTGAACCAGCTCCTGTCGTTCCGTTGATCACGGGGTCGAGGTATATTCACTAATTACCTGATTCTCCTTCAGGGTGGACGTAGTGAACGAGGACCAGGCTCGCGAGGCCCTGATGATGTATGTGGCGGAGCACTGCTGTTACGGGAAGGGCGCTGCCGAGACAATGAAGTTCACCCAGCTGCAGCCAACCAACGCCTTCCATGTACGACCTTCTGTTTGCATGTAATAAATAATAAATAATACCCCACTCAGACACAGTATACTGACTCCGAGCCGACCAGTGCTTGTTTTGGCCCTTAATGCCGAGCGCCAGACAGGGTAACAACAAGTACCATCTGTTAAACGTCTTTTGGTATGACGCGGCCGGGGATCGACTCCCTGACCTTCCGCTCTCCTGGCTATATAACCTGGAATCCCGCCGGGGTATTGTTGATGTAAAATCCAGTTTGCCTGTTAAGTTTGGATAAGGGAATTGGTGACGTATGGAGGGTCGGGTGGTTGCGATGGCGTAGGGTCTACGACATGTCGTACCTGACTGACCGTGTGTCCTCCAATGACAACATAAAGCTCATCAATCACTTGTTTGTTCGCAGATTTATTTTGACGTTGCTACTTCATAAAACACCACTCACACACTCACTCACACCGTGACTCTTCACTCAGACCCGTGAAGATCTGGGGTAGAATAGGTCTTCAGTGCTTGTCGTAGAAGGCGGCATCGTGCCCCAATTTCGTGGACCGATGCTCATGATGTCAATCACTGGATTGTCTGGTCCAGACTCGATTATTTACAGACCGCCGTCGTATAGCTGGAATATAAACAACAAACACTCACTCACTCACTCACTCACTCACTCACTCACTCACTCACTCACTCACTCACTCACTCACTCACTCACTCACTCACTCACTCACTCACTCACTCACTCACTCACTCACTCACTCACTCACTCACTCACTCACTCACTCACTCACTCACTCACTCACTCACTCACTCACTCACTCACTCACTCACTCACTCACTCACTCACTCACTCACTCACTCACTCACTCACTCACTCACTCACTCACTCACTCACTCACTCACTCACTCACTCACTCACTCACTCACTCACTCACTCACTCACTCACTCACTCACTCACTCACTCACTCACTCACTCACTCACTCACTCACTCACTCACTCACTCACTCACTCACTCACTCACTCACTCACTCACTCACTCACTCACTCACTCACTCACTCACTCACTCACTCACTCACTCACTCACTCACTCACTCACTCACTCACTCACTCACTCACTCACTCACTCACTCACTCACTCACTCACTCACTCACTCACTCACTCACTCACTCACTCACTCACTCACTCGACTATTTCCTCTTCCAGTACACCATGGAGACATTCTGTGAGTCGCGATCGACTGCCTGGGCCTTCGAGCCATTCTGTGGTGAGTACTAGGTTATTTTCAGTTCCGAAGTCTCTGATTAGAATACAAAGCAAGTGTCATACAAGCAATGGAGAGCTAAAGCTGGTTAATCATTGGCTCGTCATGTGCATGTGTGAAGATGTTCCCCACTGGCGTCACCGTTGGGATGTTGCTGGCATATCGATAGAAGCCGCGTTATACCCAACATGGCAGGACAGACAAAAGCGTGGTTGATATGTTGGGTACACAGTCGTCTATTTCTCCTTCGTTCATCTTTGGTAGTATTACAAATATCACCGTCACGTTTCCTTCCACAGGTCAGATCCTTGACACCCCGGCAAATGGCCCCGCCCCAGGGCCGTGGGACATCACCCCCAGCCCCGGCCCCACAATGTTCCAGGACGGCAAGATGGACCTGGAGGTACCCCACACATCATCCGTCAAGGTAGGTCATTGGCACAGAAGGTCCCCCCCCCCGCCCCTCCCCACACACCCACCCACCCACCACGCCCCCAGTATCCACTAAGGTAGGTCATTTGGACAGGAGGTACCTCCCACAGTATTCATCAAGGTAGGTCATTAGGACCAGATGTTCCACTCTCCCTCCAATATTCGTCAAGGTAGGTCATTAGGACCAGATGTTCCACTCTCCCTCAAGTATCCACCAAGGTAGGTCATTAGGACCAGATGTTCCACTCTCCCTCCAGTATTCGTCAAGGTAGGTCATTAGGACCAGATGTTCCACTCTCCCTCCAGTGTTCATCAAGGTAGGTCATTAGGACCAGATGTTCCACCCTCCCTCCAGTATCCATCAAGGTAGGTCATTAGGACCAGATGTTCCACTCTCCCTCCAGTATCCATCAAGGTAGGTCATTAGGACCAGATGTTCCACTCTCCCTCCAGTATTCGTCAAGGTAGGTCATTAGGACCAGATGTTCCACTCTCCCTCAAGTATTCGTCAAGGTAGGTCATTAGGACCAGATGTTCCACTCTCCCTCCAGTATCCATCATGGTAGGTAATTAGGACCAGATGTTCCACTCTCCCTCCAATGTTCGTCAAGGTAGGTCATTAGGACCAGATGTTCCACTCTCCCTCCAGTATTCGTCAAGGTAGGTCATTAGGACCAGATGTTCCACTCTCCCTCCAGTATTCGTCAAGGTAGGTCATTAGGACCAGATGTTCCACTCTCCCTCCAGTATTCGTCAAGGTAGGTCATTAGGACCAGATGTTCCACTCTCCCTCCAGTATCCATCAAGGTAGGTCATTAGGACCAGATGTTCCACTCTCCCTCCAGTATCCATCAAGGTAGGTCATTTGGACCAGATGTTCCACTCTCCCTCCAGTATTCGTCAAGGTAGGTCATTAGGACCAGATGTTCCACTCTCCCTCCAGTTTTCGTCAAGGTAGGTCATTAGGACCAGATGTTCCACTCTCCCTCCAGTATCCATCAAGGTAGGTCATTAGGACCAGATGTTCCACTCTCCCTCCAGTATTCGTCAAGGTAGGTCATTAGGACCAGATGTTCCACTCTCCCTCCAGTATTCGTCAAGGTAGGTCATTGGGACCAGATGTTCCACTCTCCCTCCAGTATCCATCAAGGTAGGTCATTAGGACCAGATGTTCCACTCTCCCTCCAGTATTCGTCAAGGTAGGTCATTAGGACCAGATGTTCCACTCTCCCTCCAGTATTCGTCAAGGTAGGTCATTGGGAGAGTAGGTAGCCCACACAGCATCCGTCAAGGTAGGTCATTGGGAGAGTAGGTAGCCCACACAGCATCCGTCAAGGTAGGTCATTGGTGAAAGAGGTAGCCCACACAGCATCCGTCAAGGTAGGTCATTGGGAGAGTAGGTAGCCCACACAGCATCCGTCAAGGTAGGTCATTGGTGAGAGAGGTAGCCCACACAGCATCCGTCAAGGTAGGTCATTGGGAGAGTAGGTAGCCCACACAGCATCCGTCAAGATAGGTCATTGGGAGAGTAGGTAGCCCACACAGCATCCATCAAGGTAGATCATTGGGAGAGTAGGTAGCCCACACAGCATCCGTCAAGGTAGGTCATTGGGAGAGTAGGTAGCCCACACAGCATCCGTCAAGGTAGATCATTGGGAGAGTAGGTAGCCCACACAGCATCCGTCAAGGTAGGTCATTGGGAGAGTAGGTAGCCCACACAGCATCCGTCAAGGTAGGTCATTGGGAGAGTAGGTAGCCCACACAGCATCCGTCAAGGTAGGTCATGGGGAGAGTTGGTAGCCCACACAGCATCCGTCAAGGTAGGTCATTGGGAGAGTAGGTAGCCCACACAGCATCCGTCAAGGTAGATCGTTTCGACAGGAGGTCCCCACCCTTCCCCCAGCATTCGTCAGGGTAGGTCATTGGGACAAGAGGTACCCCCTACAGCATCCTTCAATGTAGGTCACGTAAAGAGGAGGTTCCCCATACGACATCAAGGTATGTCATTTGAGACAGGAACCGATTTTATCAGTATATGAAATTCCACTAAATGTGACGATTCCACATCTAACAGAATGAACTAAAATGGACATGAAATATTTGTAAAAATTACTTTCGAAGCTTGTGTCCTTTATGGCAAGGTGAGCTCCAAGTCCAGTCATGACGGCAGGCAATAATCCTTGGATTTCACGACAGGAATTATATAGGAGACAATTATGTGAATGAATCTTCATGGGTTATATAAAGTAAGCGAAGGGGTAGCTGCAGAGGATCTGCAAATACACCTCCAGATTTCCACACAGGGGTAGCACCATATTACATACACCCTCACCTCGTCTCTCCGTGTTGTGTGACTCTTCTTACTGTCTTCTTGCAGGCCTGCCACAACTGCTGTGCCTCCGGGTGGATCCAGTGCAACAAATGTTTCGGTTTAGGGAGGGTAGGTTGTCCCTTTCAGACCTTGAAATACAACACAGCCATGATCTGTCAAGCTAGTTTAGCATTTAGATTTATTTAATGAATGAAGAGATACTCTGGTCTTCTTCCTGTTAAAAACCAAGAGATATTTTATATCATCTTCTTACGTGTGCTATCACGGTTCGCGCTTCCAAACACTGGTTAGCCTGGGGTGTATGTCCAACCCCATCACCCAAACCTTATTGAGCTGTAGTAAATGTCCCCGTGGTTGATGTCCTTATCAAACTGTAGTAACTGTCCTCGTTATTGATGTCGTTATTAAACTGTAGAAACTGTCCTCGTTATTGATGTCGTTATTAAACTGTAGTAACTGTCCTCGTTATTGATGTCGTTATTAAACTATAGTAACTATCCCCGTTATCGATGTCGTTGTTGAACTGTAGTAACTGTCCCCGTGGTTGATGTCGTTATTAAACTGTAGTAACTATCCCCGTGGTTGATGTCGTTCTTAAACTGTAGTAACTGTCCCCGTGGTTGATGTCGTTCTTAAACTGTAGTAACTGTCCCCGTGGTTGATGTCGTTGTTGAACTGTAGTAACTGTCCCCGTGGTTGATGTCGTTGTTGAACTGTACTAACTGTCCCCGTGGTTGATGTCGTTGTTGAACTGTACTAACTATCCCCGTGGTTGATGTCGTTGTTGAACTGTACTAACTGTCCCCGTCGTTGATGTCATTGTTGAACTGTACTAACTATTCCCGTGGTTGATGTCGTTGTTGAACTGTACTAACTATCCCCGTGGTTGATGTCGTTGTTGAACTGTACTAACTATTCCCGTGGTTGATGTCGTTGTTGAACTGTAGTAACTGTCCCCGAGGTTGATGTCTTTATTGAACTGTAGTAACTGTCCCAGTAGTTGATGTCGTTGTTGAACTGTAGTAACTGTCCCCGTGGTTGATGTCGTTATTAAATTGTAGTAACTGTCACCGTGGTTGATGCCGTTACAGGAACAGTGCACGTTTTGTAACGGTCGTGGGTGTTCGAGGCAGTATATCGACGGCGACTGGGTGGACCGCTCCTGCACGAGCTGCAACGGCAGGGGGATGAGGACGTGAGTGATGAGTGGCGTGTTTTTTGCTGTTTTTGTTTTGTTTGTTTGATGTAGTCGTTGTTGTTTGTATTTCTCTTTCTTTTTCTATTCCTTTTTTTTGGCGGGAAGGGGGGCGGGGTTGTAAGGTGGTCAACATAGGGTTTTCAGGCATTCTATCATGTTTGCTCCGAAATATTAGCAAAATAACTTCATAAGATTCACACAACAGGGATCACATGCTGAGTGGAGACAGGATAGTGCAAAAGGAACCGAAATTTGAACCCAATGAAACTAAATTTGAACCAATTCTTCACCAAGTGAACTGAAATTTTGACCATTTTTCCAAATGAATATGCAGTTCCTTTGTCATTCAGATGTCACCGTTGCCATGGTTGCGGACGCATCACGTGCACGCTGTGTGACGGCAAAACCAGACTGAAGTGCTACATCAAGCTGACAATACTATGGTAGGCGCTGATTATCAACACCGATGTGTGTCACTTGGTGGGTGAGCGGAGTTTGCTCGCTGCGTGGACTGGTACACCACATTCGTGTTCGTGTTCGAGGTTACCCAAAGTAGTAAACGTCTAAATATCTACAGTACTTCGGGCTTCCCTCCCGGCTGGTGACCCGTGAAGATCCGGGGTAGGATAGGTCTCCAGCAACCAATGCTTGCCGTAAAAGGCGACTATGCTTGTCGTAAAAGGCGACTAACGGGATCGGTTGGTCAGGCTCGCTGACTTGGTTGATGCATGTCATCGATCCCAATTGCGTGGATCGATGCTCATGATAGTTATGACTGTATTGTCTGGTCCAGACTCGATTATTTACAGACCACCGTCATATAGCCCGAATATTGCTGAGTGCGGCGTTAAACAACAAACAAACAAAAAATACTGGTAGGAGCCACACTTCCTCATTCACATGATAGGTTACCTTGCTTGACACCATTTGGTGATATTATCTTTGATATTTGGTCCCTGCACGCTGACTATTATGGATATTAATATTATGGATACTAGATATTGTCAACTGATATTGTACAATGTCATTTAAATACACAGAATATTTCCACTTTAGGCTGTCATTACATGATATGACTGACTGACTGACTGAGGCTGACTGAGACTGACTGACTGACTGACTGACTGACTGACTGACTGACTGAGATTGACTGAGACTGACTGAGACTGACTGACTGACTGACTGACTGACTGAGACTGACTGAGACTGACTGACTGACTGACTGACTGACTGACTGACTGACTGAGACTGATTGACTGACTGACTGACTGACTGACTGACTGACTGACTGACTGACTCGCTCACTCACTCACTCACTCACTCACTCACTCACTCACTCACTTTCTTGCAGGGTGAACCATGTGAACGATCACATTGTGGAGAGGACGGAGCTTCCAGACCATCTGATCCGGGAGGTGACGGGCCACCAGGCCTTCCAGGAGACAGCTCCCCGGGTATGCTGCTATGTTGCCCTTGCCAGATATAAATGTTACCATGTCTCATTAAATATGTTCCATGACCAATTATTTTCCATTATTCGAATTCAACCAACGCAGTTTATATCGATGGCTGAATGTATTAATACATACCCCTATCATTTTACATGATAAGTGTCGAGGCTCAAATGCCACAAGCATTTATTTGAATGAGATATATATTTATTCGTTTAATCGCTGTACATTTCAAGGTGTTTCCAGTAAATCACTTCCCAGACCAGGAAATCAACGCCGCGTCCAAGAGGATCGTGGGGTCTCACGCAGGGGCCTTTCCAACTGAGCGTATACTTATGCAGGTACGGTCAAACCAGTAGCTGGGAGTAATGGGGACATGGATGCGTCTTTGGGAATAAATGGTGTCTTCAAAACAAAACAGGTATCCGGTTACCATCCAATAACAAGCCAGTAACAATCCAATAACAATCCAGTAAAAATCCAATAACAATCCAATAACAACCCAGTAACAACTCAGTAACAATCCAGTAACAGTCCAATAACAATCCAGTAATAATCCAATAACAATCCAGTAATAATCCAATTACAATCCAGTAACAGTCCAATAACAACGCAGGAACAATCCAGTAACAGTCCAATAACAACCCATTAATAATCCAATAACAATCCAGTAATAATCCAATAACAATCCAATAACAACCCAGGAACAACCCAGGAACAATCCAATAAAAATCCAATTACAATCCAATAGCAACCCAGTAACAACCCAGGAACAATCCAATAACAATCAAGTAAAAATCCAATTACAATCCAATAGCAACCCAGTAACAACCCAGGAACAATCCAATAACAATCCAGTAAAAATCCAATTACAATCCAATAGCAACCCAGTAACAACCCAGGAACAATCCAATAACAATCCAGTAAAAATCCAATAACAATCCAATAACAACCCAGTAACAACCCAGTAACAATCCAGTAACAATCTAGTAACAGTCCAATAACAATCCAGTAATAATCCAATAAAAATCCAGTAATAATCCAATAACAATCCAGTAATAATCCAATAACAATCCAATAATAATCCAATAACAATCCAGTAACAACCCAGGAACAACCCAGTAACAGTCCAATAACAACCCATTAATAATCCAATAACAATCCAGTAATAATCCAATAACAATCAAATAACAACCCAGGAACAATCCAGTAACAGTCCAATAACAATCCAGTAATAATCCAATAACAATCCAGTAATAATCCAATAACAATCCAGTAACAGTCCAATAACAACCCAGTAATAATCCAATAACAATACAGTAATAATCCAATAACAATCCAGTAATAATCCAATAACAATCCAGTAACAGTCCAGTTACAGTCCAGTAACAGTCCAATAACAACCCAGTAACAGTCCAGGAACAGTCCAATAACAATCCAGTAATAATCCAATAACAATCCAGTAGCAGTCCAATAACAACCCAGTAACATCTCAGTAATAATCCAAGAACAATCCAGTCATAATCCAATAACAATCCAGTAACAGTCCAATAACAACCAAGTAACAGTCCAGTAACAGTCCAATAACAACCCAGTAATAATCCAGTAACCATCCAATAACAACCCAGTAATAATCCAATAAAAACCCAGTAACAATCCAATAACAATCAAATAGCAACCCAGTAAAAATCCAATAACAATCCAATAACATCCCAGGAACAATCCAAAAACAATCCAGTAACAGTCCAATAACAACCCAGTAACAGTCCAGTAACTGTCCAGTAGCAGTCCAATAACAACCCAGTAATAATCCAGTAACAATCCGATAACATTCCAATAACAATCAAATAACAACCCAGTAACAATCCAATAACAATCCCATAATGGTCCAAAAGCAACCAAGTAACAACCCAATAACAATCCTTTTGCAACCCAGTAACAATCCAGTAACAGTCCAATAGCAATCAAATAACAACCAAGTAACTATCCAATAACAATCTTATAACAATACGGTAAAAATCCAGTAACAATCCAATTACAATTCGGTAACAATTCAATACTCCATCCCTAGTTTTGTATGAGAAGTGCTTGTTTGCTACGATGCGGTATGTTAGCCTAATGGGTCAAGCGTTCGCTCGTCACTCCGGAGATCCGAATTCAGTTCGCTGTTTAGTGTCACCTCCTGGTGGTACAATGCTAACGAGCAGCGTAAAAAATTCTCACCCAGTCGCTGACTGAATCCTGGGTAGACCAAGCTACTATCGGGCTGATGTACTGTTTTCTTATTAAGTGAGTAAATTGGACTCCGCTTTGAACAGTATTTTATGAGTCATCAATCCGGTCAGCATAATATGTGACGAAATCCAGTAGAAGTTTAAAACTCAGGGAAACTCAGGAGCACCTGACATCCCTGGGATCGTAATCGATGAAATCAGGAATTCAGTACATCCTCACATGGCTAAGGGAGGCTATTGATTCATAGTATTCTTGTGGCATAGTTCGATGCCAGAATACCTGGTTTGCTCGCTCCGTGACACTTTTCAGGTCACTGCCGTCAAACACATATTCTATTGTTACCCAAAAGAATGGAGAGCCAATTGTCAAATTGTGCGTTCCTTGGTCGTTCAAGGACTCACTGGACGTTGGATAGAATCTTCGATTCAACACTATCATGATCTTCGGTTTCTCAGTACCCTGACCATGCTCGTGTGCGCTTCACCAAAGTGTCAGGCGTCTACGTCCTGATTCAGTGCCCCCACCCCCTCCCCCTTGAAATATCATGTAGTAATATAAGTGAGTGGGTGGGTATGGTTTTACGCCGCTTTAAGCAATATTCCAGCAATGTCACGCGTCGGGGGAAACCTGAATTGGGCTTCATACATTGTGACCATGTGGTGAATCAAACCCGGGGTTTCGGCGTAATCACAAGGCTACTCCAGCGTTCCTGTAGTTATACGACAGTCAAAAGGCGTTAAAACAAACTGAAAATAAACATTCCAGGTATATTCACCGATTGTTGTGTTGCAGCGCCACCAAGTACGGATCGTGCCCGTCACCCAGGCCTTCTTCAACTGGAAGGAGAAGGATTCTGACTTCTTTATTTATGGTTTCGAGAACAAGGTTTTCGCCCCTAAATACCCACAGACCTGCTGCTGGGGCTGCACCATCCTCTAGAGACGCCAGACCAACATCATCTAGAGACGCCAGACTAACATCATCTAGCGAAACACCAGACTAACATCATCTAGATACACACACCACATCAACATCTTCACGAGACAAAAGCCAAACAAACATCCTCTGAACACGCACGGGACCAACATCATCTAGAGACACGTCAGAACAACATCCTCTAGAGACACGCCAGACCAACATCCTCTAGAGACACGCCAGACCAACATCCTCTAGAACCACGCCAGAACAACATCTTCTAGAGACACGTCAGAACAACATCCTCTAGAGACACGCCAGAACAACATCCTCTAGAGACACGCCAGAACAACATCCTCTAGAACCACGCCAGAACAACATCTTCTAGAGACACGCCAGAACAACATAATCTAGAGACACGCCAGAACAACATCTTCTAGAGACACGCCAGACCAACATCCTCTAGAGACACGCCAGACCAACATCCTCTAGAGACACGCCAGACCAACATCCTCTTGACACGCACGGGACCAACATCTAGCATAACATACACACATACACGCTTTGGAAACTACCTTTTATGAACATTGTTGTTAACTCATGTAATGTTTTATACCATGAGCTTCTAGTTTGTTATATTCACAGGAAGACATCTTTGAATGTTCACATTGTCTGTTAAACAGTTCATGTCATCGAGTATGAGTTAGCAGCCACGACAAAAAAAACGCCCTGGGCCCCGTTTCACAAAGCGATCTCAGCGTTACGACTGTCTTTAGCGTTTAGTGAGTATGTGTTAATGATAGGTACGAAGACTGCATGGTAGACTATCATACAAACTGTCAACACTACGTATTGCAATGCGATCACAGTGGTTCGGTATGTTGAGAAAATTCGCAAATAAGTATCATCATTATTTACATAAATTCAAATGCCTAGTACAACTAATTTCATCCCAATAATATTCCAGTACGCACTGCTATTTGTCATAGTTTTGACTCCCTTCATCACAATACAGAACTATGTATCGCTATACATTGCAATACAAGATCCCTGGCAGTACACAGCCTCATCACTGGTACGGTAACAGAAGCACTCTGATTGTGTAGTAATGTGTAACGGGGCCCAAGTTCTTTTGTACCGAAGCAGCATTTAATTAGAGGAACATTTTGCCTTATCATTCGTGACAGTTGTTTGTTAGTACAGGAAATTCGCGTATAAGAACGCTAGAAGCGAGTAATCCCTTTATTTATTCATTTATTGACGATATTTCCAATCCACGTCAACACTCACGTTGATGTTCAGTGACAGTAGGTAATAAATAAACTTATCAACCTGTGCACAGTTTCTGCTTCCTCGTAAGGAAACTGATTTGTAAGGAAACTGGTTTAGTTTCCAACTTTATTTACAAGAACTCATTGTGTCAGAACTTTGCTAAGTTTGTATACCATGCCGCCAGTCATCTGACTTCTGCTGTAAATTGGCCTAAAATACTCAATCTATACAAGTACTTATGTTTTTGCATAATCGTTAAAAAATGCAATATCTTTTTTATAATATGTACACATCCATGTGATCAATAAAATACTTGTTTTACCCGTTGCACTTATATGAGATGAAACAGATTACCCGATGTTTCTAAAAAGGGGGAGATTTAGAGATAAGAGCTCTAAAATAAATATATATCACAAGTAAACATAATAATCCACTTTCATTTGACCATGTTGTAAATTTGGAAATATGGTAACTAACGCGACAAGGTGAGAATCATGCGCAACACAGGGAGCATCTCAACACTTCAATTGTTATTTAGTTTCTAGTGTTTCCCATGGTGCCATCATCGATTATTCAGTCTCCATTCTTCGTGATAACTACCTTGGACCCATTCTCCACTATAGGTGAGGTGAAATGGGGGTTAACGTATATAGCGACGTGCATGCACGTGTGTGTGTGGCTGCTTGTACTGGTCCGGACTGATGCCGATTGATAGTGCTAGCCCACTGAGATACCATGCCGCAGTTTAACATGAATACCCCTCTCAGATATAGTACACTGACTCCGAGCCAACCGATCCTTGTTTTAGCCCCTTAATGCCGAGCGCCAGACAGGGTAACAACAAGTACCATCGTTTAACGTCTTTTGGTATGACGTGGCCGGGGATCGAACCCCGGAACTTCCGCTCTACGGGCGGACGCTCTACCACTAGACCACGGAGGCGGTCTTCTCCTCTAGCTACGCGATGAAGTGATTCAAATAGCACGGCACATAATGCGCCAAAGTCCATTCACCGAGTGGATGCTCAAAGCCCTACACTATTATTATCCCAGTCAATGGATCAGTGTAAACTGGATTTTCATTCTCAGCTCCCTGGGGAGTATACAACCCAAGCTGCCATCTCATCCTACCGGGTACCTATTCACTGATGGGTGAACAGAGACACATCTCGAACAAAGTCGTGTGCTTCAGTGTGGGGCAGGACCGAAGCCCTAGAAACTCTCATGAGTCAAGCTGCCGAAGCGCGGTCACCCATCCAACTACTCTCCGAGACTGACGTTGCTTAACTTAAACTGATTTGTATCGAATACTGCAAGGGACATTCTCGCGATCTCGCATTCTCGCGATCTCGACTTTTAGAAATGAGCGAGATATGCCCAAAACACGAGAGTGCGAAAACGCGAGATTTAGCCCAAGTCTCGCGTTCTCGCGATCTCGTATTCTCGTGTTTTTTTGTCAAAAGTCGACAACACGAGAACGCGACATTTGGACATGATGCAATATCTCCCAATCTCGCAATCGCAAGAACGCGAGAATCCGACATGTCAATTTCTCGCGTTCTCACATTCTCGCGTATTAGACGCTGTCCGTGCGCATGCGAAATATCATAAGGTCAAGGCGCATGCGCACGTTAGTAGTCCTGCGATCATGCTTCTTCTATGCTCTTCATTTTCCAAGAAGCATTTTAGCTTTTAACTTATGACAAGCTTGAAAATGTTATATAATTTACATACACAAAGTCATATAGAGAAGAGTTGACAAGCCGGGATATAACTGAAATATAAATACTGTTCACTCACTTATTCTGAGCCATGCCGGTCCCTCAGGCTGGATATCGGGGTACATTTCCAGTATAAGCATACCTAGCATGCGGATGCTAAGGCCGCAATAAATTGATAGTTAGAGTTTGATTGATTTTTTTAAAACACATGAGACGGGGTGCATTTTATTTTTAACATTTTTTCTTTTTCTTATCGAACTATTGTGTGTTCAGTTGCTGTCGAAGGGTGCGATTCACATGCATCATGCGTGTTCAGTAGGGCTACGTGTGTGGGGTATTTCATCAAATAAAGACTGTAGGAACACACATATTTGAGATATTTCTATTTCTGGGAACTTGGAGGCAATAGAATAATGTAAGGCGGGATGGATTGTAGCCAGGCGGGAGCGGATGAGGATCTATTAATTAATTTTGTATGGCCTAAAGTAGCGAATATGGTGTCGTGTAAAACACATCTGACAATCTCATTTTAGACGAATTCTACAATTTGGTCTGTGTGAATTTTGTTTTAATGAATACACTAGCCGTGTATTATATTGCCTCATGGAGAAACTCACTGGCCTGTGATTATTTTCTGTAACTGACAGTGTCGCCGCGAATAGCTGCAAGACTGCTGATGTGGCTTTAAGCAATATTTACTCACTCACAGACGGCGAAATTTTGTTTCCAGCTTCCGGACACTTTAATGTTTCCACTATCTTAGAACAACGGGAGTGGACTCTTCTCCATATATGACGTTGTGTATGTAAATTACATTGCAATTTTGGGCGGTCGGGTAGCCTAGTGGTTAAAGCAATGTGTGAAGCCCATTTCTGGTGTCCCCGCCGTGATATTGCTGGAATATTGCTGAAAGCGGCGTAAAACCATACTCACTCACTCACTCACCCATAGCAATTTTCTAAATGCTACTTGGAGAATGAAGCGCATGAAAGAAGCATGACCTCAGGACTACGAACGTGCGCATGCCCTTTGCGTTATTATATGACGTATGCGCATGGGTTCTCGCGATTTCGTGTTTTTGTGGCTTAATTTGACAAGTCGACATTGCGTGTTTTTTGCATCATGTCAAAATGTCGCATTCTAGTGTTGTCGACTTTTGACAAAAAATGCTGTGTGGCCAAATCTCGCATTCTCGCGAGCTCACATTCTCGTGATTTGGGCATAATTAGCTCATTGCCAAAAGTCGAGACCGCGAGAATGTTCCTTACGGTATTCCATACATTTGTGACCTGTGCGCTGTGCACAGGAACACGCGCAATCCCTTTACTCTCACAAGCGAGAACCATTATGTGCTATGTTTGAGATTGGACCGAGGCCAATATCATGCTAATGTGCGTGGGCAAAAACGTGAGAATATGGATAAAGAGATAACGATTTTTTTTGCACATGAAATACATTTTTAAATCCCAAAGGACACCACCCAAAGTGAAAATAAAAGAAACATGTATACACGCCCCCATTGTGTACGTAACGCCTCTTATGTTAGCAAAACCGTCTTCAGACTGCCCCCTCGACACGTCCCTTTCTGTACACAACTCTCCTTATGCTAGCAACACCATCTGCAGATCGACACGTCCCTTTCTGTACACAACTCTCCTTATGCTAGCAACACCATCTGCAGATCGACACGTCCCTTTCTGTACACAACTCTCCTTATGCTAGCAACACCATCTGCAGATCGACACGTCCCTTTCTGTACACAACTCTCCTTATGCTAGCAACACCATCTGCAGATCGACACGTCCCTTTCTGTACACAACTCTCCTTATGCTAGCAACACCATCTGCAGATCGACACGTCCCTTTCTGTACACAACTCTCCTTATGCTAGCAACACCATCTGCAGATCAACACGTCCCTTTCTGTACACAACTCTCCGTATGCTAGCAACACCATCTGCAGATCGACACGTCCCTTTCTGTACACAACTCTCCTTATGCTAGCAACACCATCTGCAGATCAACACGTCCCTTTCTGTACACAACTCTCCGTATGCTAGCAACACCATCTGCAAATCGACACGTCCCTTTCTGTACACAACTCTCCTTATGCTAGCAACACCATCTGCAGATCGAAACGTCCCTTTCTGTACACAACTCTCCATATGCTAGCAACATCTCCTGCAGATCAACACGTCCCTTTCTGTACACAACTCTCCATATGCTAGCAACACCATCTGCAGGTCGACACGTCCCTTTCTGTACACAACTCTCCATATGCTAGCAACACCATCTGTAGATCGACACGTCCCTTTCTGTACACAACTCTCCTTATGCTAGCAACACCATCTGCAGGTCGACACGTCCCTTTCTGTACACAACTCTCCTTATGCTAGCAACATTTCCTGCAGATCGACACGTCCCTTTCTGTACACAACTCTCCTTATGCTAGCAACACATTCTGCAGATCGACACGTCCCTTTCTGTACACAACTCTCCGTATGCTAGCAACACCATCTGCAGGTCGACACGTCCCTTTCTGTACACAACTCTCCGTATGCTAGCAACACTATCTGCAGATCGAAACGTCCCTTTCTGTACACAACTCTCCGTATGCTAGCAACACCATCTGCAGGTCGACACGTCCCTTTCTGTACACAACTCTCCTTATGCTAGCAACACCATCTGCAGGTCGACACGTCCCTTTCTGTACACAACTCTCCGTATGCTAGCAACACCATCTGCAGATCGACACGTCCCTTTCTGTACACAACTCTCCATATGCTAGCAACACCATCTGCAGATCGACACGTCCCTTTCTGTACACAACTCTCCTTATGCTAGCAACACCATCTGCAGATCGACACGTCCCTTTCTTTACACAACTCTCCTTATGCTAGCAACACCATCTGCAGATCGACACGTCCCTTTCTGTACACAACTCTCCTTATGCTAGCAACACCATCTGCAGGTCGACACGTCCCTTTCTGTACACAACTCTCCGTATGCTAGCAACACCAGTAGGCCGACATGCCCTTTTTACAAATGGCTTTCCTTATGCTAAAAACATCTCCTGCAGACGGACACGAACCCTTCTGTACATAACGTTGGTGGGAAAAAGGGGTGCTGAATCATTGTCCTTTCGACATGATTTCCCAACACCCTGTGTTATATGAAGAGACATTACTCATTTATACGTCCATTGGATCTGACTATTGGCAACAATTCTTGGTGATTGAAGCTTGTGACAAAGAACCAATCAAACTGAATCCATTTTCAATCTCTAAAGGTTTCGTTTGTATCTGCAGAGAGGTTACAAATGTCACAAAGCACCGATTTGTCTCTCCCCCTGTACAATGTGAACGGAGATCGCAATCTGTCAATCTCCTCAAGTTAAAAGAGTTTGTCAATATCAAGGTTGCTGACACTGAACTGAAGGGCATTGTCCTTCATAGAGAACAATGCCTGTTCGGTATAACTGAAGATGAAATTACCACGGAACCGGAACAACAGTCCACCACAGATGTCAAACGGTTTACTGTAAAGAAGGATGGTGTGGTCGAAATGAGTATATCAAAGCTGTTTATTGTAACATTAGAGTGGAGGTGTACCTGCCAAGCGTTTGGACATGGATCCAGGTCCCACCATGCCCCGTCTGTTTGTCACTGCAGCGGTGACAAGCACGAGAACACTGACTGCAGGAAGGAAATCCTTTAAATCCTGCCAAGTGTGGCAAACCCGGAAGATCATGCATGAACAAACTTTCACTTTCCATGAAGCTCATAAAGAAGGTTCGCTTCCCTTGAAAAAACAGCTATAACCCCTTCAACTGTGGCACCTTCCAAACCAAAAGTAAAAACTGTAGAGTCTCAGACACTAGAACCAGTACCTGAACCAAAATCAGAGATGGTACATTTAACAAAGAAAGAAAATTATTGAGACAACGCAGCAAGAGAGCGGCTGCAAACTCCATCACCAAAGGCAACCTCTCCTTGAGACGTCTCCATAGAGGTCCATAACTTCGCACACAATTGACTGACCTCACTGCTATTGTTGCAATGACATCAAAGGCAGCATGGTTTCTAACAACAAGCCAGTGTCCAGTCAAGCCTAATTAACAAGTACACCTTACAGCAATGGTGCAAGCTGTTACCACTGTTAAGTTACTTAAGTATTCTCACGCGACTGTCGATGGAACATGAACATTGAGAAATGAGTGAAAGGAAGTAATACAAAGTCTTCCTTACGTTCGCTTGATACATCTCCTGGACATTATACAATGGAATTGCATAGGTGGTCTTGAGATAAATTTTAATGAAAGCTATTGATCCAAGACTCCAAATCCAAGATTTTAAACCATCGGCTTTTTATCTCCAAGAAAACTTATGTACAAAACACAGATCAATTTGACATTCGCCAGTACAGTTGCCACTCATTTTCTCATCCTGGTGATAGAGTTACAAGAGGTTCTTCTTTCCTGGTCAAGCAGGGAATAATCCATAGCCCACTCAACAATACTCTTCAAACTGTTGCTGTCCGTTAAACAATTATGTTCACTATATCGTTTTCCTTCTTCAACTGTCCGCCAATCAGACATTCAGACTGTATGGTCAGCTCCCGAAGCATGATTTATGCATCTTCAATGATGTATCTACATTCTGCCACAGGAACATACTCTTGATCTTTCACTTACAGATTCAAATATTTTGAGCGAGTTTGAATGGCCGGTCAAAATAACATTTGTGGAAGTGACCATTATCCATCAATACTAACAACAAAGCATTCCTAAGTCCTCTGCAAACCATACGTTAACCATGGCTTGATGATGATTGTAAACAAGCTAGAAAAATAGGAGAATATAAAGCTGAGAAATATTTCTGCCTGCATGCTACCTTCCATAACCTGAATAACGTTAAAATGATAAGCGCCAAGGTGAGACGCACTTTTAAACGAAACAAAATTCAATCCTTGAGGAACTACCCATAAAAAAATCAATTCTCGCATACCCATGTCAAAGGTGTGGAACATGATTCAAAAGATATAGGGCAATGAATCAAAATCTGGAGTCACCATCGCAAAGGTGGTAATACACTATTAACAACTAAATGTGAAATTGCCAACAAAAGTGGTGAAACTTTAGCAAACCATTCCTCATCTTTTAACTATAAACCTCAGTTTCAGAAGTTTCATAACAAACAGGAAAAGGAAAAGGTCAATTATAACTCCGATAATGGTGAGGACTACAGCGAAACACGTACATAACACTCCTTAGGCTGGCAACATCATCTCCAAACCGACAAGCCTCTTTCAATACACAACTCTCCAAGCAAAACCACCTGCAGATTGAAACGCCCCCTATCTGAACACAACTCTCTTTATGCTGGCAACAGCAACTGCATGCTGACACGCCCACCTCCTGTACATATTACTCCTTATGCTAACAGCATAACCTGCAGACACACACGTCCCTTCTGTACATAACCCTCCTTATTCTAGCAGCATCCCCTCTAGACCGACCAGCATTACCTGCAGACCGACATGCTATTTTCTGTACATAGGTCTCCTTATGCTACCAATATCCCAGTTAATCACGGTGCAGTACGAACATCCCTTCTGTTTTATAACGTCCGGGTGGTTTAGACAACCCATTAAAATATTGTCCTTTTGGAAACTTTATCAGGTTAGTTTTGGATGCAAGTGCTAGAATTCCGGTAGCATACACATCATCAATCCATATTGACTTAATGTAAGTGGAAGCTGTGTGTAGATTCCTGATAACTGACAGCGTTGTCATGTAGGCAAATCCTGCACAATATGGAGGGTACTTGAAGAAGGGATACTCCTTTTTGGAAACGGCCCACTTTCCGGTTACTCGCTTCCCGCTCCCAGGTACAACGAAGCACATAATATGCCCCTCAGGGACAGGGTTCGAGAACAGGTACCTCAACACGTTTGCAAGATGAATAACGACATCATCGTCCATTTTGATGACGTACTTTACATTTTGGCAGTGAGTGAGAACCCAATGATAGCCCATAATGTGTTTATGGGTCAGATTGTGGTAAGAATCTATGAAGTTCCCTTGCACCATGTCTTGATATTTCTGTGATTCTTTTGCAACTTCTGTCTGTAATGGAGCATTGTTAGTTTGCCCCACTAAGAAAACAACAGTCAGAACTGATCCATGTTTAGTGTCACATACACTGGTGGTGTTCCTGATTTTCTGTCGCTTCTTGACGTTGTGCAGGGCAGTATGCACCATCACCACTATGGAGGCCCATCCCTTACAGTTGTCGGAGTTCATCAAGAATTTGTACTGATGTAAATTATCCCAAACATCAACATCATTGTCCGCAATTCTGAGATATCCCAGTACTTGGGAAGTCGCATTGACTCTTTTTGAAGCTCTCTCTTCAGCAATAGCCTTTATACGATGACGAGCAATCGTGGTTGGCAGAGTTGTTTCACTCGAGGCGTTTCCATTCATCGTCGTGCTAACCGTTAGTGTTTCCGATCTGATCTCCAGTGCCTTACCTTCTTCGTTTGATACAGGCCGGGTGGTTTTTGGAGAGCAGTGTCCTCTGATTAGCGCATAGACCATAGCACCTGCTATAGAAGAAGTAAGCATCCATTGCCATGGTCTCCTTTGGAAACTTCCCAGACAGATCAAGCTAACCACCCTGGAACAGATGAAAAAAAACACATCTGTGAAGTCTTGTTTTTTGGGATGCTCCATTATTTTTCAGGTAGGACAGCTGTTTCTCAGTTATACATTATCTTAAACCAACATTTCAATAAATCTCACTTGGAATGGACGGACTGTGGGGATGCTAAAAAACAAGGTTACAATTGGCTATACATGCTTCACTCTCACGGGATGTGTCACCTTTATAGAAGAATGAATGAGTTAATATTTTCCATCGCATCGGCAATATTGAAGCCATATGGCGATGACAATAAGTCATTGATTATTTAATACCTGTTAACAAAGGACAGTACATTAGTAAGAAAATATCACAGTTGAGGTACAAACAAACCAGATCAATAATACAACAAACTATTTAATTTGTAGATGGCATCGCCGTCAATAATCTCAGTTGTTGATAACATCACCCTAATCTAAAACAAAATTCAAACCTTCAAAATGTATTAAATAAATTCTATTTCTTTAAAAACAACAACCGAGAATTAAATGATCACTGATGTTATCAAGAAGATACATAAAGGACGTTGAATGATAATAATTATGCCTTGTGAGAAAGTAATCAACAGTCAAGCAAAACATGCTTGACTATGATTATCTCATCACAAGGGATACATAATGGAGGATCCTCTCCTTTCAATAAATATTCATGGGTATAACGACTGTGGCCAATGCGACATGGTGGCAAAACAACTTCATCATGTCTGAACTGGCAACCCAAGATGGTCTAACCTAGGGTTGGTTTTATTTCATGAAGCTTGTATATACCTACTTTGGTGTTCCTCTTCTTTTGCATTAGATCTTAGATGAAGCATCTAATTATAGGCTTGTAATCACTGAATGGTAAAATAAGTGTTGTCACAGACTTGTTGAATGCTGCCTTTGCCGCAGCATCAGCCATAGTGTTTACCAGCGACTTTCAACAAATCTAGAGCCTTCAGGAATTTAGTCTTAAGATAATTTATATGATGCCGAAAAGTGAAATGCTGATCGAAGATGAGTCCTAGGAACTTAGCCTCCCCTACAACCTTGATGGGAATTTCCATCTAAAAATAGTTCAGGATCTTTATGGCGCTGGTATTTCCTGCATAAACAAATACAATTGGTCTTTGAAAACTTAAATCCATTTTCAAGTGACCATTTTTGAATTTTGATGAGAAATAGCTGTAGGTGTCTCTCGATGGTACGCATATTTTTGCCACAACATGAAATATTTAAATCATGAACAAAAATGGACCAATCAATTGAATCATTTAAGATCCTGGAAAGACCATCAATCCTTATACTAAACTCAGTGATGGACACCCTGATCCTGATTATAATGGTCAGACTGGTATTGAACCCACACGCACCTGAAATTGTCGGTCTGTTACACAATTGGGATATAAATTGTGGCAAGCCGTGAAGAAAATGTATGGTAGGAACTGTACTAACGCAAATCAATGTTGTCGGTCTGTCTTGTACTAATAAGTGTAACTCATTAAAATTGGTCCTCAGACCTCTGCTGTGCCACTGAATTAAAAAATGGATTAAAAATGTTCATCTTACAGATGGATGAACAGTAGATCTATTGCTCCCATTTTGTGACGATGAGGAGAGACAGCCATGTCCTCCAGAGTTTGAAATCGATTGGATATCTATATAGGTCACGATGACCCGTTGGTATACGATCTGAATTTTTCGAAAAATCATCTAATTTGCTTGTATTTTTCACAATAGGGGATGTTTTTGGTGCCAGTGTACCAGGCTAAATGTTTCCCTGGCCAGTTCTCTCCTGGGTAAGTTTTGGCCTTAGTTCTTCCCCACACTTGGCTAGATCCCACCTCCCCCCTTAAATCAGTAAGTGAGTGAGTGAGTATGGTTTTACGCCGCTTTTAGCAATATTCCAGCAATATCACGGCGGGGGACACCAGAAATGGGCTTCACACATTGTACCCATGTCGGGAATCGAACCCGGGTCTTCGGCGTGACGAGCGAACGCTTTAACCACTAGGCTACCCGACCGCCCCTTAAATCAGTAAGCTTACCTAAGGTGTGGAAGATGTAGCCGTGGCCAGATCCCACCCCTCTCCTTCCCCTCTGAATTTCAGATACACTGTACATAAGGCCATGCAAATTGGATTTTTAGTTTACAGTGTTCCTAGATGCGAGTATAGGGTGCAAGTGACAGAAAAACATATTTTTCATTTCACTAGGTTGGGAGGGAAGATCTATTATGAGGAGCGAGTGAGTGTAATTTTTTAGAAATTAATGTTTAAAAAACGACTAAATTACCATGTCAGGTAGATAAGTTTCAGCCTCAGCCAGATTTTTCCCTAATGCCAAACTTTACCTGGGGTAAATTTTCCCATTGATAACGTAATATACACCTGGGCACCTTTGCATAACCTGCACATATAGATTTCGAATCGAGATGCCAAATATCATATTTGACTAATAATGCAGTTTTGATTTAACAATATTCTGAGTATATTAGTCAAAGGGAACAGTATAGCATGAGTATTCCTCAGTATAATCACCGCATAAACTTGTATTATTATTGGTGTTAAATAATATTTCAATGCAATTGACATGTGTTTGAAGGGAACTCTTTTGATGACAACAGTTGCATCGTCCATAAAACTATTTTGACAAATAGCGACCTGAAATTCAATCAGACGCAAGGAGGAGACTCAGCATAAAGACTGGTGTTGTTAATATGCATTTGATCTGTTGAGAATCTCATAATTACATTACCACAACAGAGGGATTGCCAAGCGTCAGTTATCCTTCGTCACGCTACAATTATATATATTTAGTAAGTTCTTCCTCTACTTAAGTTAAGTCCTATTTCCATTCTGATATCAATACATTATCCCCATTAGTCAGCAGCACTGAGAAATTTATGCAAAAAAACCTTTATGAATATCATAGGCACCATAGAAGCTTAACTTTTGTCAATCATCAATCAACATAAACACCCTCATATTCCATAATTATAAAAATAGGACAGAACAAAATTTATTTCGTATAGTCTGGCCATGATGCTAATAGTACAGATGATTGGATAATATTTGTTATATTGTGACAGAGCGCTTCAGTATATATTGGCTTTGGAATTTCTAAGTTTAAACATTCTCTCAATATAAAGAGCTAGCTGAAATCAATTGCTGTCGTCATTTGTTGTGAGTAACAATACAAACTTGTGCATGGTAGGATATTGATAATAATACGAGGGCAAATACCTTAACCTTAAGTTAGTATAACCTGGACATATAAATAGTGCATGGTATTATTCATAATCTTTCTTCTTTACTGAAATTGCATACAGTCAGCAGTCATGCTAACTAGAAATTCCATATTTATGTATTTTAAAATCATTTGAACAACATCTAAATTTTGTTAAAGATCTTAGATTTACAGTCTTAATCGATGATACTCATTCAGGTTGTAGTAAGGATTTGTAAGTGCAATATATATCTAGTCTTGGTGAATTAGATATACAATCTGACCATTCTTGCATAAACAAATCTCTTGTTCTTTCCTAAAATGTATAAATAAAAACATCACCGACATATCGAGGTATCTCCGACATCTTGCATCAACCATACATTACCAAAGCCACAACTAAAAAATGTATATCTTACAAATGAAGCCCAATTTTTATAACCTTATTCATCATATTTATAGCATGAAATAGCAATACTTTGGATATTTTACCCAGAGACCCAGAGGCATTCTTAACAGCTTAATTCAATACTTCAGTATTTTCAAAACACCATATTCATACATTCTCGTCCTTCCAAGTTCACCTAATACAGCAGCATTTGAAGATTTGTATCCTATTTTCAAAGTATATTTACAATATTTGGTATGTATAATTTCAATATGTTTTCTTAATTCTGTAAAGCCATATGAGTTTATCATATGAAATACAGCAGTTTTCTTCACCTTTATTTCTGTATGCTTCCAGATACTTTCCAAGTTTCTTGTGTGGTCATCACATAATTATATAAATAGGAACCTTTCACTATTGTAGAACAATATCTAAAATATATTTTGGAAGATGAATATAAAGTTTCCAAAAATATGTGAAAAATGGGAAATATTTGAAATATGGTTTTCCTGAAGCAATCCACAAGGGGAGTGACTTGGCCTTGAAAAAAACTTTTTCCCATGTCATTACATGCTTGATGATGTGACCACAGTGGATAAGAACTGGCCTAGGATGAGATAAAACTGGCCTTGGTTGGAGCCAAGAGAGAGGAAGAACAGGCTGGCTGAACCTTACTAGTCTAGTCAAAATAACGATAGACCCACCACAAATTGCAACAGAAATGTTTTTAGTTGATTCATATTTAACAAGCCCTCCTTAACATCATAAAAAAAAATCTGGAAAAGTCTAAATGGGGGAACATTTCCAAATTCAGTCATCTTTACTATAGCGATTACCTAGAATTTTAATAGAAAAAAAATAATTCAATTTTTGAAATATATTCAAAGTTAACTATGTTACATATCAAATGAAAGCTACTAATACAGGCTTCATTATGTTATACCGTTCCATATTCTGTCTTGTTTTGGTTCAGAGAAATCAGCAAAAATCTCTTTTTCAGCTTTCAATAATAGTAATCTATCTTGTTCCAAACAGCAGACAAACAGACCGGACTATACCTGGGGAAGAACTGGCCAGGAGGATGTTTCAGCCTGTTACACCGGTACTGGTGCTGCTACCATTGAAGATGTAGAGACACTCGCTGATGGTGATGTATCATCTGTTTGTGAAGAACTTGACTGAACCAAGTTATCCGTGGAAACCTAAGTAATGTATGTCTGGCATTGAACGGACATGACTGATTTAAAGGTATGCTTGTCACAGCAGCAGAATAGGACACAGCTGTGGTTGGAGAGGTAATAGCTATGATTAAATGCTCTGTGAAGGTGATGTTTCTTTCATATTTACAGTCTTGTGTTGAAGTTTGGTCAGGACTTCGAGGA